CCCCAAAACCCCAAAACCCCAAAACCCCAAAACCCCTACTTAGATATTCGGAACTGAAGAGTATAATATAAATTATTAAATGAGTGCAGACATAACAACTCAAAGTCTTTGGGATGACTCCTTCTGAACTGTCTCCGAGTACTACAGTCAGTCTCCGTCTACAAATGATGTGTACAAGTGGCACAGCAGCGAGAGCATCCTAACTAATAGTCAAGAGCTTAGGAGTTCAAGGAAAGAAGAGATGAGCATAAATAAGACGAACACATGCAGCATAAAAGAACCCAAGATAAGATATTTTCATAAAATTACAAGCTCATGAGAAGTCTCTTCCAAATCGAGAGAGTGTTCTACCTCTAAAAATATCGAAAGTATTCAGGGACTTGTTGCAAATACTATGAGATCGAATAAACTCGGTTGTTCCAAATTTCGTTCAGGTCAACTAAAACTATCAGAATTGAAATCGAAGAGCTGGAAAGAAAGATGAAATCATAACCAAACGATTGATTCTCCTAGGCTGCTAATGAGTTTGAGAAAATAACCCCAAGTCCAGTATTTTCAATTTATCGTATCTCTTGGCTTCAAGCCTCGTATAATAATTCATCTTAAAAAGTTCCTTTAACACATCTGTCCCTTTTCTTCAGTGATACATTAGGATATGTTTATAACTTCTCCGTGATTATAAAGCCAAGAATAATGGCAGCATCACTTGAAAATAGTGTTGTGGTGCCCAACTAATCTTGCTAAGGACTCTGGATGAATTATTTCACATAAAATGCTATGTAAATATCCAAAATTACACTATAAATTAATCTAGGGAACTTTAAAGCTACAAACAGCCCATAATAATTGGCTGCGATAAGATTTCATAGGAAGGTGGTAATGTAAGAGGAACACAAAAGTTCCTAAAACAAAAGGATCCAGTGCTGTGCATTCTTATGAGCAAGTCTAGACCTCTTTACTCCCACAGTTTTGATACTATGCAGGAAGTGTAGATAACTGGGATGATTACTGAATATTTTAGTATAAGTTCTCAGTGTTCGAGAAGAACCTGACAAACAACTTCCTTGGCATATAACTGAAGGCTCTTGCTTTTGTGGAGCAATTACTGCTCAAAATTCAGCAATTGTATAAATTTTGAAATTTAACATTTGTTAACCATTTCATTAGAACCTTAATAATAAAAATTAATCTGGAAGAATTTTTCAAATATAGGTTAACAACACTTTGATAAAGAGAAGAAGGGATGAGCGTCAATATCAAATAAGCGTGCTCATCTGCTTAGATATGTGGCTTTCAGTCAAGTGATTAGAAGACCTTCATGCTTTAATTATAAGGACTTACTCTCCTCCTGCTATGTTTATAGTCCTCCTAATTTAATAAAATTCTGAATAGAATAATTTAAGAAATAATCCTCCCAAGTCTCTTGTGTAGCATCTTGATCAAGAGAATTTGAGTGGTATAGACATCCTAACAGGGATGCCTTCTTTTTCTAGGTGAACTTTTTACCATGCTTGGGAACAGAACCGATTTGTGGTAAGATGATGACAAACCCTAACTATATCTTCTGGGAAAGAGCCTCACATTTAAGGAGAGGATTTTAAGAGTGTTGAATGTTCAGAAATATTTACTCTAAGAGGCAAGCTATGTCTAAAAGGTCTGGCCTAGCCATATGGTTTGAGAAGTTTAAAAGGTAATTTCTTGGTTTAAGAAATTTCTGATAATTATGAATAAATGCAAACAACCTGGTATATCAATTGAAGGCTATCCTAGTTTTATTCGCTGTTGGACCCCAGATTAATTAAGATATAAAATATGAAATATTCGAGATTCCTTTAATAAGAACGTTTCATAGCTTTCGAGATTTAATATTACACAAAGTCTAGCTAGATTACAGAAAATTGGAAAATATGAATTTAGTTAGTTTAATAAAGTAAGAGTCATGATTGCTAGCTTATTGGTGACATTCTAATCTAATCATATCTCCTGCTGATATAAGCATAAGACTTTGGCTAGACTATTTAAAATCCAAGAGCATCCCTACAATGAATAGCTTTAAAACTCACCATAAGCATGCTCTTGGTGCTTAAAACTCATCTAAGAACGCTAAAGACTTCAGTTTTGCCAAGTATGACTATCTAACCAGCAGAAGTACTCTCAAACTCCAAATATTATAAATAATTCGGCTTTTTCATCAAAATTTTCTTGGGATTTACTATTTTCAATACCAAGGATATGGTCTGGGGTTTTGGGGTTTTGGGGTTTTGGGGTTTTGGGGTTTTGGGG